CTTTTTTGAAAAATAGTCGCTGGAAGGGTCTGAATAGTCGCTGAGTTGGCAACACTGCAACTGCGGCGCTGACTCGCTCCGCCATATTTTTTTTTCTTCCCCCGTTTCAGTCAAGTGGATGTGATGACGGCGGCGGCGGATGACGCAATAATCGCGCGACACAACTAATCGATGATGAAATTTGTTGCCAACGCTTTTAAAAGTCGATTTTTATCGATTTTATCGATTCGTTGTTGCAGCCCTAGTTGAAATATTGCTTCATAAACGGTGTGCATTGTTTTGAAGCATAAAGACCTTGATGCTGCGGGCATTTTATCAGAGAAGGAGGTATGCTGGGTGTTTTTTTCCTGCCTGCTACGTCTCAGTCTGTTGCTTTGGCTCCATGACTCAGTCTGTCAGAGGAGAGGTTGGTGAAGATAGAGACAGACTCCAGAGTAAACTGGCAGCTGTTAATGTTTAGAGTGAAAACAGCTGTAAACATCTGAGCTGTCTGAACACTTTCAGCAGGCTTAAAATGACCTTAAACCCGATACTCCACAGTACTGCAGCGTTTCCCCCCCATCAGAAAGCAGGCATTGGGACGGCTGCTAAATTAAAGATCAATGAACTAATTTTGTCCAAATTGCAATCAGGGTTTCCGACGGGAGGGCCAGGAGGATAATCCTGCACTGATCCACGCCGCTAATCTGGTCTAATGAACAAGGTGACTGTGGCGATAAGGCTTCTGGTAGATATTAGGCTCCTATTGATTTGGCCATGTATTACCAGGATGGGAGCTTGTCTTTACAGCCCAGCAGATAGAGAATCTACATGGAAGTCGATGAGTTTGTGACTGTTCCGTGTCTCTCTGCTCCTATCATTTAGATCCGACCTCCTCCTCAGACTCTTCGTCAATGAAATGATAAAAGGTAATCGGATTAGGAGCTCTGTTCATTAGTGTGAGTAGGACAGACGATCAGGTAGAGTGGGTTTGTCCATCTACATAAAGCAGGCTGAACAGTCGCCCCTCTCTGACTGATGGAGTTACTCCCTGAGGAGAACAAGAAAGAGCAGGACGGTTCCCAGGAGCCGACCCCTCATCTGAGCAGCAACGCCAAATCAGACCAGAGTGATGAGCAGAGGAGAAATGGATTAAAAGAGAGAGAGAGAGAAAACAGCAGTGATAAGAGCAGGGAGCGAGGTGAGGAGAGGAACCGAGACCAAAGGCGAGGAGATATGCAGAGAGCCTCAGCAGGGCGATCCACAGAGCAGGGATGATGGGAGGTTGGGGTGGGATGAATGAAAAGGCACAATCTGACCCGCAGAGGCTCCCCGTTATCTCACTGCTGTCATTATTTTTGCCATTACTGCCGTTGCCGCCTCACTTTGTGTATTACAGATAACAGACAAAGGCCTCCGCAGCGATAAAGCTCCAGTTCAAGAGGGAGGTTCTCCTGGAAGCCATTAATGCTCCGTTTCTGCCTGCTGCTCATCGGGCGGCACTTCACCAACAACAGGAATCATATCACAGAACAGAAACAGAGAAAAGAGTGTACAATCATCATCCTCGTCTTACCACTGTCATTAGCAGCTTGTCAAACCACTGCAGCTTGAGCTCAGCGCGAGGCCACATGTCAGGCCTGAGGGCAGTTTTCATCAGGTTAACGCAGCGGCGGGACAGCAATTCCCCCGGAGACCCGGCCACGTTGGTGCTGTCATTCACCTACAAGAGATCGGGGGGGTTATTATCACTATAACGGGACTTCTTTTTCTTTTTTATGAGATGATGCATCCATCCATCCATGGTGTTCTGCTCTCTGCCTGCTGGTAATCCCTCCGGCCTCAGAAAACACATTTTTTCTGCAGGGATCAATTCAGTGTCACAATGCTCTGCTATCAGACTGAACACAAAGAGAAGATTATGTTCCTGCAAGTGATCCCAAGGGTAACGCAGAAAGTTATATTTGGAGATGGCTGGATGAAAACATAGAATCAAGCTCAGCTAAAAACAGGAGAAAAAGTCAAGATGAATGAGACTCCAGGAGTCTGGGTTAGGCCTCAGAGGTCAAAGGTGATCCTAATCCAAAGCACAGCATCATGAGGGCAGACAGCAGAAACACGGTTATTTTAACAGAGTAGTAGATTTTACTGTGAGGTTCAGACAATTTAAAAAATACGACTTTCACTCATTTATTGTTTTAACAACAAAACTGCTTGAACAGACAGAGAAAGAGTTTTAATTTAGCAGGTATAAAATAAACTAAAGGCAACATGTTAATATATATATAGCGGCGGTTGTAGAGAAGACTCTACCTGGCATGCTATCCTGATCAGGAAGTTGACCACTGTGTCTGTGTGTTGTTTCTCCACGGGCTTGGTGAGCATGGTCTCCGTTCCTGGCATGGACTGGCTGCGTCCAAACACCTTCAAACACAAACGTCACAATGGCTGACATGTTCAGGACAGAAGTGCATCCAAGGCTTTTAAGTTTTCAAGACTTATGCACTATTTTCAATGACGGAGGTTTTAAATGAGAAACATTGCCTAAGAATTAAAGACGAAAAATGGTTATAATTTTTCTCCTTACATCAGCTAAAAGACAGGAAAATAATCTGAAACTGTTCCTTCAGGTGCTTTTAACAAATAAAGCAAACAAATCTAAGATTTCTGTCTCATTAGCCCTGGTAAACAGAAGAATTAAAGCAAAGAAAACCATCATTTCTTATTTCTATCATTTGGTTTCTTTAAAACTATTCAACCCTTTAAATCCTAATGTTAAAATAATTTATAGTTGCATATTAAAATAATGTTTGTTAAATTAATTTTCATAGATCTAGGGAGTAAACAGCATCTGAAAAGAAAAGTTTGAACCTATTATAACTAATATCATATTTCTCCAACCTTTGGAGAGAATAAAAACCAACCACAGTTTTAATGCTTTTCTGCTTCAGTTCCTCATCAAAATAACCAAATGTTTGATAAGCAACGAATAAAAAAGCTGGAACTTTATATCAGAGTCCATTCAGCAGATCTCTATTGTTAATATTTGGGTGAATGTTTGCAGAGTAGACGGACCGTGGAAGCGGTGCCGGCTGCTGCACGGAACCGTTTGACATCCTGGCTGGTACCGGCAGTATCCAGAGACAGTCCTCTCTTCACAGCACCACCGCTACTTCCCTCGCCAGCCACCGCTTCAGACTCCGACTCCGGCTGTGGTACCAGACAGAGAACAGGACAGCTTCAACATTAGAGCATCCCTCCTTTTTTCCCCTCTTCTAATTTTAACATTTAAAGCAAGTTAAGTACATCTACAGATTAAGTAATTGCTAAAGAATTTGAAGTTCACAACAGTGGTAAATTTAGACAGCTTACACAAAGATGTTTCCTCTTTAAACATCAGAGCATCTTTATTAACACTGACTAACGTCAAAGACTCGACATTTACCTGCTGGTCTTTGATTCTCTGCAGTTCCCACTTAATAACCACCTCGGCCAAGTCCACAGCTAGCTTGCGCTGCTCTATGGTGACGCTGGGCGTGAAGCCCAGACGCTGCATGGCGCTGATCATGTGCTGCACCAGGTGGTGGCGGACCGGGTAGTACACCTACGGAGCCAAAAAATGAAAAATATGGTAAGACATCTGATTTTCACATCCAGCCTCCACCTGCTGCACCGTCAACAGTCGCCCAGTGGAGCCAATGGAAACTTTCCATAGAGCAGTGACAGAACAATGACACAGACTGGATATTATAAAACATATTAATAGTGATACACTGTAAAAACTGTTCTAAAAACAAGTGCAAATTTCTTAAAATAAGTGTAATTTCCCCTTAATTTAAGCATATATTTCTGCCAATGGAATTAGTATTTTTCCCTGAAAATTAGATAATTAGATCCTATGAACTTGAAATAGCATAATGGAGTTGTTTGTTGTTATTCTAGATGCAAATAATTTAATTATCTTACTAACCTGCTCAGTAAATGGTTAAATGCACTTAAAATAAAATTGACTTGCTTATATGCTTATATTTAATTTTTTTAGCAGCCTACCTGAAAACTCCAACCCAGGGTTCCCAGTGGTTTAATGTTCACTTAAATTCAGATGGATGAGGACTAAATGGAGTCTAATGGACTCAACATTTAGAATAATGAGAGAAACAGGTGCAGATCTAACCTACATGTTGGGACTCAAGAGTTAGTGTTTATTTTTATTCACTTTTTGAACTCTAAAGTTTCAGAGTTTTGCCCCATGAAGTTTTTGGTCTGTTTCCCACTTGGGGATTTAAAGCCTTTTTTCCCCTCCTTCTTGTTTAACAAACACTTTAAGTGACAGCTTTTGATTGCCAACACATTCTAAATGAAAAGTCCCAATAATGGATCATGCAGGCTAAACGGACTGCAAACATTCTTCCTACAGAACCACTAGATATTCAGCAGGTAGAGTCCAGATGTGAGCTTTTACCCCGAAACTTCTGCTGAGTTTAGGGGTTCAGATATGATGTGTTTCCTTGATCTCAAGGACAGGATGAGGATCGCTCATCCTCAGCAATCACACACCCAGAGCCCCTTAGCCCTGAAGAACTGGGACTCTCATCTGACCATGGAGACAAAGGAGATTTGAGACGTCCATCGGAGCGCTTCTGTCAGTGTCAGAGAATATTAAAGCTGCTCACTCTGAGGGTAATTACAGCTGATGGAGCAGGACTCTGCAGCCCTTTAATGACAGAGCGCCTAAGCCCCGTCCATCACACAGACAAACATGCAGCCGATCTCTCCATTACTTTATCAAGCACACACACAAAGTCTCATCTGTCTGTCATTATCTGCTCCTCGCTGTAATTATGCTGATGTGATTACATTAGATTAGTCATGTGGCCCAGCGAGGGCCGCCTGTCAGACAGAAAAGAGAGGAGGGAGGTGTCAGTCTTCTGCTCAAAGACCGTCGCCGTCTTGAAGCTCTGCTGAAGTAGTGGGGTGGGGGGCTGAGAGTGACTCCCCTGCCTCCCCGCTATGAGGAAACCATCCTCTACTGCTGAGCAGAGAGAGTCTAAGGGACCAGTTGACCCATTGATACCAGTAGGTCTAGAAAAACAACATCCTTCCTATTATCTATAGTCCTTGGAAGAGATGGGACACCTGTTTTTCTTCAGTACAGTAACTAATAAAAGTTAACTTAAAATTAGCATTTGTTTTGTTTTTTAGCATCTTATCCTAACGACAAAAAATAACTTAAAATAGTTTTTAATAAAATCCGGCTGCTTGTTTTTTTTTTTTTTTTTACACTTTTTAACAACAAAAAAAAAAAATTGAAAGTGATGACATCTGAACTTTAAAAGCAGTGACAGATCCCCCCTTTCATTTCACTCCGCATAATAAAAACTAAACATCACAGCAGTTTAGCTACGTTTACATGCGCAAAATTTCCCCGATCCGATCCAAACCTTGGTTGATCGGAAATTCAAAATCTCCGTTTACATGGACACTAAATGAAATGATCCGATCATGACGTGTGTATACATGTACCAAACGTTGGATCAGATTAAATCTTTTAAGCATGCGCAGAACTTCCTGCCAAACTTGGCAGTTCTGTCTGCGTCTGGTTTTTAGGAGGCCTGACAAACGATGCGCTCGGAGCGAGCGGAAAGAAAAAAGGAGAGAGGAGGAAAAAAGCGCTTGGCAGTGAAATGTCCGAGAGAAAATGTGGAGAATGAGCGATTGAACTGGCGTGGGAGAGCGAGTGGGCTGTGGAGAGAGAAAAGAGGAAGAGGAGGAGGATAAATTCCTGCTTCCTGCAGCTTTAAATGAACTTGAGTGTATAAGTCGGCGTTCCTAGACTCCTCCCGCCATGTTGTTCACAGCGAGAGCAACTGGTGGTTTCCTGTTGTTGAAAGGGTGGAAAAACATCACGCTGACGTCGCACACATGCGCAGTGAAGATTATTTTACTCTTTAGATCCGAATGGGTGTTTACATGGACGCCAATCAGAATGGCGATCGGCAAAAACCACCTCTCTCTTTCGGAATTAAATTTATTTCCGATCGGACCGAATCGGATTAGAATCTTCAGTTTGGCTTGTTTACATGAAACATTTTTGATCTGATCAGGCCTTCAATCCGATTAGTTGTGTCCATGTAAACGTAGCTTTTGCCCTTCTGATCATATTGGCTGAAGAACAAATGCAGAAATAAATGAATTTCACCTGTCAGGTTAAAAAAAATAAAATAAAAAATGACAGATGAAAATGAACAGATTTGGGTCGATATTTATTAAGTATTTATTCATAGATTTATTTAGATATTTATTTATTTGTAATATTCAGCTGTTTAAAAATTATTGAACAAACCTTAATGTATTTTTATTTGTTTTCTTTTAGTAAATAATGCTACGACTAAAAAAAAAAAAAAAAAAAACAGGAGGAAAAAAGGAGATCAAAGAAAGGAAGGGGCAGGCTATAGCCCACCTTGATGCGTTCTTGGTTGCGTTGTAGGTTAAACATCAAAGAGTTGGTTTGGATTTAAAGCTAGAAGCTAGCCGACACTCAAACAGGTTCGGGTTTGTGCCGGTTTGTGGAACTGGATCCCTGCAGCACTCTGCTTTGCTCAACAAGCTAACAACCATGTTGTTAAAATTTGTTAGAAACTGGATAGTGAGCTAGCTGAAGCAAGTGGAGGCAAAGATTCAGCACTCCATCTGTATGACCCAGTTAGCTCCTAAATTAACAAATCTGTACTGGGTCGTGCCGAACCAAGAGTATTAGGTATGTTCGTCACAAATACCCATACCGTTACAGCCCTAGCTGGATGGGATCAGAGTATCAACTGAGCCGGCATCAACATTCAAACTGTCGCCCACAGCATTCTACATTCTACATCTGCTCACCCTGAAGTGCTGCACTATCAGATGCAGAATGTGGACCAGCTGCGGCACGGTGTGGCCTTCCTCCACGATGATCTTGCGGGTCCAGTGGGTCAGCATCTGGTGGCCGTCCTCCATGCGAGCGGGCACAGCGGGGGTCAGGATGGCCATGGCCTGGCGGACGATGGCGCGGGCCTCCATGGTGTGAGCCTTCAGAAGGCTGTGGAAGACCTGAGCAGCAAACATTAGATTTAAAACACTGCTGGTTCTTCCTATTGCCATTTCCCTGTGTTCTCAAACCCACCTGCAGGACGATCTTCTTATGAATGGCGAACTTTGCAATGATGTGGGCCAGCAGCAGGTGTCCGCTGTATTTACAGGCGGGGTCCACGCAGGCTTTAGGCAGCAGACACGGCCAGGCGAACGTCATGAGGCGCCGCAGCTTGCTGTTGCGTGACTTATTGTTGTCGTGTATGTGGTGAGGCGCGTGCTCCACCAGCAGGGTGGAGAACTGCAAGAGGCAGATTCTAAGAGAGTCCAACAGGTCGGCCTGCTTCTCCGGGTCCAAAACCTAGAAAGACAGGACATCATTGCGTCAACTGGGTGCAAAGCGAGAGCTATCGCTTCATGAAAGAACTGATCAAGTCAGTAAGTCAAGCTTTACTGTTTTAAATCCAAAATAGTTGCGACCTGACAGCATTTCAAAATAGCAAGTATTTTAAACGAGTTGATTTGGAAACCATTAATCCGATTCCACCTTCAGTGGATTTGATACCATCACATAGAGGTCTGTGCTTTGACTGGGCCGTCCTGAACCATGGATAAGCCCTGATCTGAGTACCAACGTTAGCTTCCCATCACACAGTGATAATGTGGCTAAAAAGGCTGAAAAGGTTTAATTATTACCTCAACAATAAGAAGAATCTTTTTTTTTATTCCAAATACTTTTTTTAAAGGACAAAATTCTAGTTAAATATTTTACTAAATAAAGATGAAAACCATGAAAGTAGGAACCTTCTCTTTGTCTGGGATGGTTTATCAAGCAGAATTCCACTAAGATAAACGTTCTCAAAGGAACTAATTGGAACTATGACAAGTTAAAGGAGGGATGAAGATGAGGAAGATGACTTGGTGTGAAGGGATCCCATTGTCTTCAGTAAAGGGAAAACAATCTGAGGAAAGAGGAGGAACCCTCAAATGGTCCTCTGAGCTGTTACCTTGGTGATGAAGACACTGGTGATGCTTTCTGGGTTGTCTCCCTCAGGGTTGGGTGGTCCTAGAAGCTGCTCCCCCTCCCCTTTCTCAAAGCTGTGCAGGAAGGCCGGGTTCAGGATGTGCTGCAAAACCTTAGAACCAGAACAAGGGGTCAGAGATCTTCATGAAAAAAGTTGTCATTGTGATTTTCATCTCTACAGGAACTCTCTTCTTATTGCAGCAGGATGGAAAATGACACTTTAGGCTTCACGCTTTTCTGTTTTCAGCTACGTCTCAAAAAGTTTTCTGCATGAAGCTTTTTTTAAACAAAGTGCATGCCAACACTGAAGTTTTATTCCAGCTCCCACATTGCTCCCTTAAAGGGAATATTCTCTAAGATCCTGCAGATCAAGCTGGACTTCAGTCCAACACAATTATTCCTGTGATGATGAGCTTGTAGGGAAATCAAAGGATGCAAGAGGTGCTCATCACCGTCCCATTAAGGTCTGTCATGAGGCATATTTATTCCATCTGTGTGTATAGGAGGGGATCTGTGTAATTCAGGTGTTCTAGCCCCACAACCCGCCTCTTCTTCACTCCAACCCGTTTCTAAATCCTGCTCCTGCATGCAGCAGAGCGAGCCTCATTAGAAAAACGTTTCAGTGTGCCGCAGCACGTCGGACAGAGAGGACAAAGTCCTTCATCTGGGAGCCTCTGAGGGCCACAACAAACACAATGACCTCAGTGACTCCATCAAAGAAGTTCTGGGCCAAAGCGTGGCTAGCAGAAAGGTCCACAGATCAGCTCCCTGAAGGTGTTGTTACCCAAACTGGGAGGACGGGCTGAAGAAAACCTGCCCATCACTCAGTTGTTCCAGGAACTTCAAAGATTGTTTGTATGCAGCAGAGGTGGAATCATTAGAAAAATCAGAGGTCAGAGGGACCTACTGCGCTCCAGAACATCAGGGGATATCCCAGAGGTGGAAGCACTGCAAAACATTCTTCATAACCAGATCAGGTCATCCTGATATTTCCTCTGTGCTTCCATCATTCCAACCTCCGTCATTTTGATTACCGTGCCACCGCCACCCTCACACTCTCCGCTTGGCTTAATATTTCATCAGCATGAAAGCTGCAGGTTTAAAACACCTGGATCACATGAGCCAACAGCCCTCAGGATATGAATATAACACCCTGATATGACATGGATGAAACATTCTACCCTTCCAGCAGCTGTTAAAACTTTAAAACCATGAATGCTTCCAGGAAACTCACAAGGTTGTTTAAATGAGCATGTGTGGGGTCTGCAGAGATCTTAGTTAACCCTTTCCCAACCATGAAACCGATCAAGTCCTTTACACAATTTATAAATTCTCTCATTATGCTGAAAAAAACACACCTTTCTCCTCCCTTCAGGTAAACAGCCTCGCAATCTTGCAATGTAGCACCAAAATGTTCACACGACCAAACAAACAACATCCAAACCAGCGATAGACTCTTTGTCTAGAGGGATGTCCTGATCTGATATCAGTCAAATAACACAAATCTCTGGACACATCAGCCTGCATCTCTACGCTTATATCCACATCTGTTTAACGTTTGTGTTACTCAATGGTTAATAATAAATGGGTCAGTTGTTTTCATACCTGTTGGTCTTGATTTGCCTAATACCAGGCCTCTAATATTGCAAGTAGCAAGCTAAGTAATAAAAGCATGTATGGATCGCGCTGCTATCATATCGGGTGGATATGTCTATCAGTCAATACTCAAAGCTGCAATATATGTATCATATCGGAAATGAGAAACACCTGAGTGAAGTTGGCCCCCCACCTTATTCAAATTATGCAAAATTTGTCGTTGTGCCGCTATTATTTTAAAGATTTTTTTTTTTTCATGACTCTGAAAATTGAAGATTCACACTGAAGGAATCAAAACTATGAATTAACATGTGGAATTATATAAACCAAAAAAAAAAAAATGTGAAACAACTGAAAATAGGTCTTATATTCAAGGTGGGAATCTTCAATTTTCATAAGTCATGAAAATAAAGAAAAGTCTTTGAATGAGAAGGTTTGTCCAACCTTTTGGTCTGTACTGTATTTATTTTAAATATTTTATATTCAAAATATATATATTTTATAATTTTATATTTTTGCATAGTAAAAATGTTCATTTGTACTGCTATCATTTTCATGATATTAATAATAGTTTGTAGAGGTCATCAAAGGCCAGTGAACATCTGTTCATGCTAAAACTGTAAATTTCATATAAATTATACGTTTCTAACCTATAAATATGAATAATTTAATTTTAACCTGGAAGAAAATGATAGCGGCACAAACGAAAATTTGTGCTGCAAAAAGCAGCACAAACGTAGCACAGATGATTGACACCAAATTTATTTATTTTTGCAAATGTGAGCGGGGCCAGGGGAGTGGTTGACCTCTGATGACCCCTGGAGAACATTTGTCTTTATACCTTTAGAATTACAGGAGCACAAATTAAACTTTTTGCTGCACATACCACCACAAACATAGCCGAGGTGATTGACACCAATTTTGTCTGATTTCGTAAAAGTGGGGTGGCGGTTGGGGCTGGTTGACCTTTAACCTTTCATTAATATCTTCAAGCCAAAGCAGCACAAACGACAATTTTTGCTGCACAAACGGAGTCCAGTTAATTGACGGACACCCATTTCGTCTGATTTGAAGAAGGTGGGGGGTCTGGTTGACCTTTGATGACCTCTAGACACATTTCTTTATATCTTTTAAATTATAGCTGCACAAACATATATTTTAGGTGCACAAACGTTTGACACCAATTTTGTCTGATATGAAGAAGATGCAGAGGCCAACTTCACTCAGGTTGTATCAAGAGAATGACTGAGGAGAGAACGAACAGCAAAGCAACAAACATAAAACATAACTTCAGTGTATGGCTCAGCACACTGAACGTACCTTTGCTTTCAGCTCGTCGTTAAAATGAGGGTCGTTAAACTCCACAAAGCGGAAGAACAAAGCTCGCTTCTGGGGAATGGAGTAGTTTTTGGGAATTTCCTCCTCCATGTACTCCTTCAGGAAAGTCATGTTGCAGAGGAAACGACCCGTAAAAGCTCGCACCAGCTGGAACAGCAGCTCAATCTCAGAGTAGTTACGCCTGTTTGAGAGGAAGCAGTGGTAGAATAAGTCACATTTCCACAGTGATACAGATCTACAGAAAACACTAAACATACTATCAACATCTGGTTGGTTTTCTTCCTTTCTGTGTTTTCTAAACTCTTTATGAATAAAAAATAGCCTAATGTTGAATGTAAATAGCTTATTTGCAGTCAAGGTTGTTTCTCCTTTAACCACCAAACATACTTGCAGTAGCTCAACAAGCAGTAAGCCAGCAGTTTGGGCTCCTTCCAGTTGGTGGCGGCCATGTTGTCTTTGCGATGTCTTTCCTGGAAAGCCTCGCTGACCCAGACTCGGCGAAGCTGGCTGACCAGGGAGTGTTGCCCTGCAAGCCAACCCTCATCGTTCTTCACAATGATGCTGATGATCTGCATAAACGAAATGAGAAATTAGATAAATAAGGAGCTCCCTGAAGGCGTTTGGGACAATCCTCACAGGAGATTAACTCTGAGCTCGTATCACATCATGCCCAGGAGTAACGGGGCAAACCTTGATGGCCTGGAACTGCAGGTCCAGTCTGGCTGTGGCGGTGGAAGGGGATCCAGGTCGAACGGTAGCCGCAGTACCAGCAGGGACCAGCAGGGGAACGAAGCGGTTGGGATTAGAGGCCAAAACGTCTCTGAGAGGTTTAGCATCTTTGTGTTTCAGAAAACTCTGCATGTGGACATAAAACCAGAATCCCAGCTGACCACAAAACCCTGACACAGTGAACGGAAAGTGATCGTCTCAGCCTGGTACTAACCAGGCCTCAGAACACATGAAATATATTGGACTGTATTAAATAGGTGATTCTAAAAGAAATGAGGGGAATGATAAGGATGTGGTCTGACCATGAACATGCGGCTCCACTGAGGGTCGTTCAGAGTGGCTTCCATCATGAACAGCTCCACCGTCTGGGATGGGTGGCGGGTCAGGAACTTGATCAGAGGCTCTCTGAATGGGCTGCCAGCCTGGAGCAGAGAAAATACATAAAATGAGAAAAAAAAACAGGTTAATTCTAAGACCGACATAACCGACGCTTGAAGAGCTAAAGATCTGGTCTGTGTCCTACCTCAATGAGCATCGCCCTCTCCGTCTTCATGACCACCTCCAGGAGCGGTTTGACTAGCGTCTGAGGTGCAGCCGGGATGAGATGGAAAAGGTTTATGATGGCCGAGCAGATCTTCATCTCCTGCAGGAATCCAGAACAGAACCAGAAGCAAAACAACAAGAGCCTGGGTGAAACCTCAGAGCCAAATGGGTAGAAACAAACAACAGTCTTGATGACATCACTGTGGAGAGACGAGGATGAAGCCAAACTACTGGAAGCCCATCTGCAGGCTATTGGGGAACATTGCATAAGTATTCACACCCCAGAACTCTTCACAACTTGTCACATAGAAGAAAATAAAAAACAAAAAAAAAACTTAGCCTTCTCTTTTGGACCAAATGTGACGTTTGGGAAAAAAAAAAAAAAAAAAAGAGGGGTGTGCCTTTGTAGAGTGCTGCTACCCTAAATAAAACCAGTGGAACCATAAAATTCACCACTTCAGTGAACAGATAAACACAGGCAGTCTGAGGTTCCTAAGAATGAAGACAAGGAAAAGCACAGACGGGTCAGGGAGAAAGTCCAAGATAAAGTCATGCTCTGCATAGTTCTGGCTTTTATGCAGAGATGAAGAAAATGTCTGATCAGGCAGCAGCATGATGCTGGCTAGGCCCTAGCTTTTTTTTAGGAGGGTCAGGGGGGTAAAACCCTTAAAGAAAGGACCTAGTCCAAGTCCAGCACCTAATCCAATGAAGAATCTGCAGGAGGACATAGAACTGATGTTCTTAGATATTCTCCATCTAAACTGGCTGAGCTGAGAAACTTCTAAGTTGTGTGACTGACTGTTAGAGAATCTAAGAGGTGTGAATAGTTTTACATGTACCTTTTCCCAGGCAAATATCATGTCCCCCCAAAATGAGCTCTACGCATAAACCTGCACTAGAGACGCTGTCTCAGGAGGAGAAACAGGAGAACTGGAGGTTGGGGTGAACATGGGATGACAGGAACATTTTCTAACGAGACAAACACGGAACACAGATAGAAACAGGCCACGGCCACCACTACCACACTGGTTCAGAGTTTTAATCACTGACAGAACTCACTAACAGCCGGGGCGACACCGGGACACGTCTCACCTCAACACCCTCCAACGCAGGCTGTACCGGAATGGGAGACAACCATCAGTCAGCAGAACAAAATGGCGACTTTTAGTGTCAGTGTGTTGTCTGTTTATGAACCGTATAAAGAGGAGTGATGGCGTTGCAGGGATCATTATTTTTGATCATCACTGACCAGTTACTGGATTCGTTTTGGATCCAGGCTTTAGGAAATGATGTTTGGACATAATTAAAACACACTGATTAAAGGAAGCAGAGTTTGTTTTCCGCGTGACACCTTCACCTCCACCCTTCCCCGCATCTCCTTGCCCGGTTCTGTCTTCATCAGCCTCAGCTAATTGACTCAATGACCCCAGTTTTAGCGTCCCTGCCAGCTTCGCTGTCACCAGCCAACGAGACCACGAGTTGGGGGGGCAGCAAAGACAAAAGGGCCAATTTGCATCTAATTAAAGGCCCGGATTTGAATAGAGTCGGGACGAACTTGAATAAAGAGACACGAGTAGAAGGAAGAGTCTAGGAGGGAGAGGCAGCTGTATTTTTTCCCCTCTCTGTCACCTTTACAAGGTTATCTGTCGTGGAGATAATGAGGATGTGCGTTAGCGGGCCCTGCACCGCCCGCCTGGCGCCTAATTAATCATTGATTGAAATACGGGCCCTCACCACTCAACGCCGAGGCTGTTGACTGCACGCCACCGAGGCTTTGTGAGCGCAAGGAACAATTCCTATCTCCTTCTGAGAGGGTAATTTGGTTTATGCAAAGACGGGCCAACTGAAGGAAGCAGCAGCGGCTGACAGCCTTAAGGACCCGGAGCCTTCGGTCATCAATGTTTGCTATTAAAATCAGGAGTGAATCAACGTAGGCGAGGAACACAGAGGACATGTCTTTACTTACACTGCCGTCACTCCGCTGGCCACCTTTGTGCGTTATCACAACCACTTCCATCCATTTTCGAAGGTGTTGCTAAGGGAAACAGAGAACAACAAGTGAGCGTTTAGAACGTTGGAGGAGCAGGAAACAAAACTTTACCGCTAAAATCACTGAGGCTGATCTAAATAAAGAGAAAACACGGTTCAAGAAGCGTTCCACAGCAAACGGGAGTCGAGGAATCATCAAGCACCTGAACTCAACAGCTCTGGTTCTACAGAGCAAAAATTCCTGTACAAAAACCCTGGAAGGGAT